TATTTGGAGTAGAGATTCTTGGGCCGCGGGGTTCAAGTGCACAGGCGTCAGGCGCTAAATAAAGATTTAGGTGGGCGCCTGGTAATTAGTACCGGTGACCCCAGAGCTGGTGCTGTCTTTGCTCATATCGTAATACAGCAAAAAATGCCTGCCAGCATAATAGGTACACTTATTAAATTTATTTTTATTTTCTATTTATCAATTTTTAGTTATTACTATATAATTTAAGTTATGTTAAGATATCTTTTCACGGAATTGTGGAAACTTATACATCCTGGGTTAGATTCCCGGTAAAATGTAATTGGTTTGATGTCATTGTGATCATGATGAATGAATAAGATGATACAGTATAGCGAGACGTCATAGATAAACCACATTGACACTTTAAAGATAATATAAGTGGTGCAATCTAAAATCAATTCTACTTCAAAAAGCACACTCACGTAAGTCATTAATAAAGTAATGCCAAAATGTTTTGAAGTCTCCATCGAAACCCATATTTCTTGAGGACCGGCATAAATAATAGAAGGAAACGGCTGCATCACGTGGGTCTCTTGCTACGTACACCACTTTTGCATCCAACACCTTCGGTGACAACAGCGACAGTGGCAGATGAGTCTTAATGAACCTTGGGGAAGGTGCAGCCGCCACTTTCCGTACAATGGATTGAGAAAATGCACCCAATTGCTTCAGTTTTACCTCGTCGTCTTTGAGTCTTTCCTCAAGTTCAGCTACAAACTTCGGGTGAAACATCATAGTGCACCTGTAGAAGAGTAATATCATTAGAAGATTAAGAATTACTATAAAGAGTAATTATGTATGTTCAATACAAATTCTAATTAAATAATTCAAGGAAAAAAATAGTATCGGGATTAGCCAACCGGTTCAGATATTCTGAGGTTTTTTTTTATTTGAATAAAAAAAGAAAAGGAAACCTTTTTTTTTTGGAATGCACTAGCCCCGCACTAGGATTCCCTGTGTGTGGATGGCTGTTCTCTTCCATTTGAAATATTAATGATTTTTGGTACTTGACGTGATAAATTCTACATTAACTAACAATTTAACTACTGTTGCACAATAAAAATAATTTTAGAGCATGACTGCAACACTAAGAAGATGTTGTTTAAAATTGTTAATGATTGTATAAAGTTTTGTTTTTAAGAAAGTGGAGTATTTTATTTTTCATTGCGACGGTTGATTGGAAGAGATTTTAGGCTATAAGCTGGTTCCCGACACGTTACGACTAGTGGCTCAAAAAAATTGTTTGTTTATCGAGGAAAAGTTAAGCGACTGTATAAGCGGAGTATAATATAGCAGATACGGGAAAAAATACCCTACTGAGTTGCCATAGCGTGCAGTGTTTTGTTAATTACAGTTTATATCGTTTGATGAGGATCCTGGAGCAGTCTAACTAGTGACTGGCTCGAAGGACCAAGTGGTTAAGGTCAAGACGTTGTATAAATCCTTAGCGGCCGGAATAACTTGACGTCGCAATGGTTCTAGCCGTAGAATGTAGGTGAGGCTACATATCATAGTTTTTAAATAAATTCGCAATAATGTAATAATTAAGGAGCTAACTACCGCGTAAACATTTCTGATATTCTACGCGGGTAACGCAAAACTGTCTTATTAGCGGGTATAATCTAATATTGAGTTCATATAATTAAGGACCTAAAGCGTTGGAATATGTTTTTTTTTAATACTTACTCTATAAACGGGAATCTGTCTGTTAGCATAACTGATTTTGCCGTTTCGTAATCCAAGTTATTCGCAACCAACCACACTAACTCTTGAGTCCAAGTGGTTCCTAGAATTTGTTTTATTTTATATTTGCTTTAAAAAATCACACATGTTACAAGGAGGACAACCAGATACTCATGAATATATATTATTGAAAGGATATACATGTGTGAAAATAACATATGAAGGCGCAGCGCTAACCAGATCCATGCAACTTCCTCAGAATCGAGTAGCCCGCAATATCTCAGCACACAACTCACGAGGGGACTCTTTGTATTGAAGAAGTCGCATGCGTCCGCCAAGCATCCGCAAAGAAAATAACAATAAGAGCAAATAAATTAACCAGCAAGGTTTCTAATAGGCCTCTATGGAGTAGCTGAAAACGTCCACCGAGTAATTTTTCATCGCAGTTTTATTGTAAATCCGACACAAACTGTTAACAGGAAAATAATCGATGAGGACAAACGTGAGACAGGCGTGTTTAATGGATATTTGTTTATAGTCAAACGTGTACTCCAGTGGATAGGGATTTTAGTAAGCAATGCATCCATGACGCCACGTCGCCATTCAAGTGAAACAAGTTGAATTCTTTTAAGGCGAGAGTCGTAGGTTTGAAGCGATTAATTAATTAAATTATTATTGTACTCAATCATCTAAAGTTGATATGTAATATCAATAGCTTCATTTCATATCTTAATATATTTTACCTGATCTTGCATATGTAACAACATACACATCGCTTGGTCGGACTTCTATGTTGTAGATCTCTGCTGCTATATCTCTGAACCCTTGAGTGAGAACATACCCCTTTGGTCCTACACGAACGAAACCGCCTCGTTCACCTGAAAATGAATTCCTGGGATTTGACTAAACTTAACATACACTTTTTGTTCTTCATGTTTAATGCTACAGTCTTCATAACCATCCAATAAAAGACGTGTTTTAATTAAGGAGGAAAAACTTTATAAAAAGGAACTTATTGTACGGCGGGTCATCCAATCAGGCTTTAAGTAATATAGGATTTGTTTACTCTATATTAACCACTTGCGTACTATTGAGTCAATTAGTTATAGCTACAAAAAATAATTTAACGTTTAAACATGCATAATTTTGTTGCACTTCTGATTCCAATTATTCGCGAATCTAACAAAATAAACACTACTTATCCAGAGCTTGATACATTCGGTAGTGGGCTGTTCAATTGATACATAAGTTTTCGTATAAGCACCAAGTGTTTATGTTTTTCATACAAATACTTTACGAAAACCGACAGCAATAAGTCCTGATTTAAGCTACATTTAGTGTAACATAAAAAATACAGCCAAATTAAACCGTACGTCTAATATAAGCCAGTCTAAAATGTCTTACCTATAAAAAGTTTCATCATCGCTTGATTTGTTTCTGGTTCCACATCCCTAATTTCCAATGGATACTCCATTTTAGATTAAAATATTTGTTCGTTGATTGTATCTTCGTCGTTGATTGAACTGAACTAAAAATCATACCTTGGTAATCTCTTTTTATTTACGACTTTGTAATCGTAAAAATAAAATTTGAAGAAGATAATACAAGATAATTTGCGTGTTGATTATTTTAATATTGAATATTAAATCACAATCGCGATGTCTATGGCTTCAATATGGCGATTGTAAAATTATATAATGTGGACGATATATAATATCTATGTATATAATTTATTTATGCACTAAAAGGTTACTAAAAGGTATTACGCTCCAATTCTTTTCTATTGGTCATTGAATGCCGAACAAGAAAGTTATTAATAAACTAAAAAAAAATAAAACCCTTATATTTTTACACATCAAAGACAATATAGAATAATCTCGAGCTCTGTATAATTGTGACATCTGTAAACTAGTAAAAGTAGAGACTATATATTTATATAGGGCGGTTGTACCCGGGAGGATTAGAGTATCAGAAGATCCGTAAAACCAACAAGTTCTTAGTAAAATAACGTACTATTGATAATGGTAATGGCGATTTACATTACCGTCTACATGGGAGTTGAAATACCAAAGACTTAAACATGCAAATAAGACATGACGAAACGGACAAAGACGGATATAAAGTATATACGCATTCTGTCTGTTAGCTCTTGGTTTTGACGCAATATTTATATTGTTTGTCTACTAATACACACCCATTAATTGAATATTGTGTATTATCTATATAATCTTGGAACGTATTGTTTATCTTATCATTACAATTGCAAATCATGATGACTTTAAAATGCTGTAATATACTTACGGTTCCAAGATTATCTATTAAAAACACGAGTGCTCAGATTATACAAAAATTATCTATCTGAAATATGGGGTGAATAAATATTTCGTTTTAGTTAAACTTGCAAATAATGTTGTGGTGGTAAAATTTATTACAGTATAGACGGCTGTTTCAGCCGGATGCTGATATATTTATATCTAAGAAAAATGTAATGTACCTACCTAATACAGACTCAATCGTCCTACGACATATCGCTTTTATAGTACCTAGTAGGTAGAAAGTACATATTAACATATAGGGCCACTTGCACACGTAGGCAATGAAATCTCGAGTCGAGATCTCGTGAGATTAAGAATTACAATCTCGCGAGATCTCGGTATTTTCGAGACTTGGGTAGCTTTAGAAAACCAATTGTTTAAATCGACTACAGACCGATGAAAACTGCTAGATGTGTTTATGAGGTTACTTAATATACGACATTATTTTAAATTAAATATGTAATGTATCTCATATTTATTATTAACTAATTATTTGGAAAATTTCATCGCCTTTCCGGACTTAACAAATATATATATTCCGTCACTCGTTTGAGTGGCACACCGTTGAGCAATACTGGTGGAACTGTATCAACTTGATAATCGCGCGACTAATATTACTTTAATCGGTGTTATATCTCAAACCATGCGCCATCGCGAACTCTTCACATATTATTAACAGCTTTCTGATGACGCCTACGGAAGGAGCCAATAGAACCGTGTCGTCCGCAAAATTAATAATAACATTGATGCTGCAAATGACCATCATGCCCCGGTGATTTAGCCCTGCGGCATGGCTTTTAGAAGCGACCGAGAAGCGGAGCCGAAATAGAATGTTCGCTATTTGAATGGGTTCCAAGAAGGTTGAAGTAGAGGAACAGTCGCTAATTCAACCTATTAGAATGTTTCCAAAATTGCTTAAAATCCTTATTAGCGTGGTGAGTGGATAAAGTATCCACGCTTATCTTCAGCGTTATTTTGACACTATTTCAATTTTTCCTTAGATATTCGCTTCGTTTGAGCCATTATTTCATAAACTGGGCAAGTGATGAGACGCCTGTCTAACACCCAATGATAAAACTGGCGTCGAGCATCTTTAAATAAATAAATAAATTTAAAAATCCACATCAAAATTTTTATCTTATCTCTGAAACTTCATAGGAGACAAATACATAATAATGTCTAGATAAAAAGATATGCGCAAGAAACACTATTCAGGAAACAGTCGCATTAAAATTTACTGGCTAAGTATGTCAAAAAGTTTTGCATCTTGACATGCAGAATTCATAGTTCGCGCTATGCCTCGGAGGCTAACTGTAGACGATGCGATGCTTAGACAATCCTTACCTGATCGTGCATAAGTGACAACCCAAACATCGCTCGGTCTAATTTCCATATTATAAATATCGGCTGCCATTTCCTTATACCTCTCAGTTACGAGGTACCCCTTAGGACCAATGCGAACAAAACCACCGCGTTCACCTGTAAATTTATAACAGCTAGTAGACACCAAAGTTCAGTCAGACTTATATTGTGATTGGGTTGGCTGTCGTTATTCCTATTGGAAGTAGTATTGACACAGGTTCTTAAATCAAGGACGTAGACTGGACGAGAACTGGACTGGACTTTTCCAATCTTTTAATAATGAAGGTAAATTATAGAAATGACAATACGAATGAAAACACTGCAAGGAATTCTTTAAATCACTGAATTCCTTACAGATAGTAAATACAATAGCTTTAAATACAAAACGCACTATTAATACATATTACAAATCGTATTTATCTACGTTACTTTATTAGGGAATATAAAACATAATTACTGCGCTGAATTGACAACGATTTCCTTTTTTAATGTTCTTCACCGAAACAATGTTAATTGTTCACACAGCTATAGACGTTCAAGTGTGTATGCTCGACATATTAGATAACTCGCACTTTCTTCGCCCAACGCTTTTTCTCCTTCCGAGGCCCTTTCATCTTTAACCACTTCATTAAAAACAAAATTATCACGAACATTTCAAAAATCACATTACATACATTTACTAAACATCTCAAACGATATCTTGTTAACCTGTCCTATTCTGATACTGAAAATATTCTTATTGTGCAAAAATAGTTTTAATATAAATGGGTAGAAATAATTAATATAATTTTTAAAATACTGTTTACGTGTCAAAAGGAAGAGACTGGCTGCCCACAACACAGGGAATCCTAGTGTGGGGGCCAGTGCACTTTACTTTATCTGAATATCTTGTATATTGTGCATAATAAAGTTTTTTTCTTTCTTTCTTTATAAAGAAATGTACGTGGGCACTAAGTATTTTAATTTCACATAATTTTCTTAAATATTTGAAAAAACTTTATTATGCACAATATACAAGATATTTAGATAAAGTAAAGTGCACTGGCCCCCACACTAGGATTCCCTGTGTTGTGGGCAGCCAGTCTCTTCCTTTTGACACGTAAACAGTATTTTAAAAATTATATTAATTATTTCTACCCATTTATATTAAAACTATTTTCGCACAATAAGAATATTTTCAGTATCAGAATAGGACAGGTTAACAAGATATCGTTTGAGATGTTTAGTAAATGTATGTAATGTGATTTTTGAAATGTTCGTGATAATTTTGTTTTTAATGAAGTGGTTAAAGATGAAAGGGCCTCGGAAGGAGAAAAAGCGTTGGGCGAAGAAAGTGCGAGTTATCGCACGCGAAAAGCGATGCGAAATCTTAAGAATAGCACGTTGGGTGCGCTAAATTTTCAGCATTGAAGACAATGCCGCTCCACCCCAAACCGATATGCAGTAAGATAATATCGACTGGCATAATGCAGTATACACTATCTTGATTGTATGTGGATCAGCAGGCTTTCTAAGGCGTTTGAAAACATTTATAAGTTTGCGAACTCGAGAACATAGGTAGTTAATTTGAGGGCCCCAACAAAGCCTTGAGTCAATAATTAATCCCAGGTATTTGGTTGTTTTAGTGGGTTCCAGGAGAGGACAGTTGCAGTTGCTGTGAAGGTTCAAACATGAGTGTAATTTAATAGGCGGAACAGGGTTTGGTTTGCTGGATTTCGATATGTGAAAACATATGTATTTGGTCTTAGACGTATTTAAGGATAGGAGATTATCTAAAAGCCATTGAGAGATTTGGCGAAGACCTAAATGAGCTAGTTGACTGATATACCCATCAACTCGAACCCTCTGCTTTCTATTGAATAGATAGGACTTAAACCAACAAAGGATATTACCACGAATTCCTTGTCTTTCTAATTTTTCGATTAGCAGTGGTCTGGATACAGTATCAAAAGCTTTGGCTAGATCAAGAAAAACACCAATACACCTTTGTCCTTCATCTAATTTGGAACTTATGGTCTCAACCAATCCAGCGGTAGCATCCTCTGTAGATCTATTATGTCTGAATCCGAATTGATTGTTGGCAAGGATAGATTCTTTTTCCAAATAATTCAGTAATCTGACATTAATGATTTTTTCTGTAATTTTAGCGAGTGTTGGGAGTAGAGAAATGGGACGGTAGTTTGAAATTTCCATTTTATTGCCTGATTTATGGATGGGTGTGATATTAGCTATTTTCCAAGATTCAGGGAAGATACCATGTTCAATACTAAGATTGCAGATATATGAAATTGGTGCTGCAATTATGTTTTTTAATGATATTACCACTCGGTTACTAATATTATCATCACCTGGGGCAGAATTAGGCTTAAGAGAGCTAATAATTTTTGTAACTTCTCGCTCGTCACAAGGAAGGAATAGAAAAGAATTCGAGTTAGCGGTAATTGAAACTTTATGGCAAAGGTCTCGTTCAGTCTGATTTGTCTTAGACAATATATCGGAAGCCAATTTATTACCCACCGAACTGATATAATCGTTAACAATATCGAGAGATTTTTCAGGGTTCTCTTGTAGATCAAGAAGTTTATTAGAATTGGATTTAGTTGGGTTTAAGTGGCATATATTTTTGATAGATTTCCATAGTTTTTTACTATTATCTTTATTCTTAAGGATTGTGTCAGTCTCATGTAATTTTTTTAGGTTTTTAAGGAAGTTATTACAGAAGTTACGGTATTGCGTGTATTCCTTTAGGAGCGGTTCGATGTTAGGCTGTTTTCTTGATAAGATATGCAGACAATCTCTTCGTCTAACACAACGTTGTAACCCAGGAGTTATCCATGGCTTTCTAATACTTTTAGAATTTATTTTGTGTATGATTTTTGTGTTGGTATTAATTGCACTTGAAATTGTGCTTGTGAAAGCATCAACTGTTTCATTTATATTTTTGATGTTATATAGAAAGCTCCAATCGACCCCTGCTAAATCTTTATATAGTTGGTCGACTACATAGGGGAGGCTTTAACTAAATTATTATTGAGGTGATTGGTCTGATCGATTCCTATAATAACAGACATATGATCACTCACTTGGGATGGGCAAACAGCCACGCGTGATTGCAAATGTGATCTGATGAGTGCATGATCTAGACAATTACCACAACGGGTTGGTAAGAAATGACCTTGTATAAGACCGTAGAAGTTCACTAACTCAAGAAACTTATGAGCTCTGTGATCGTCGGTCGTCTCCTTAATGTCGATATTAAGATCCCCAACTATATAAATAGGGTGTCCATTGTACGATAAAATGATGTTTTCGAGAGAGTCGAGAAAATTATCAACATTGTAAAAAGAAGGTGATCTGTAAATTGATATGATAACAGCATTATTATTTAAATGACTAACTAAACAGTTTGCATCTGTAAAGGCTGGTTCTGTTATATTAAGGTTAATGTTATTTTTATGAAAAATTACGATTCCGTCGCATTTGTTAATAAATTTGTGGGAGAATGTACATGAATACCCATCTATGTGAATACCAGTAAAATTGTCATCAATCCAACACTCAGTCAAAACAATTAAATCAGGATTAAATTGCAGCCTACTAAGAAACACTAGAAAACTATCAAAGTTTTTATTAATGCTGCGGATGTTTTGAGTAACAATGGTGAGGTTTGAGGATTCGAAAAACACTTTGCAGTCTTCCGGATAATTCAAATATTGGTTGGTAATGAAATTTGTATCATCAATATCTCGAATTAAACTTAAATTATCGAATTTTAGAATAAATAGAATAGAAGACATGAAAAACATTAAAATTGTACCTAAAAGTGTGAAGGATTGCGTTACAGATTGGGTGATATTGGTCGAATAGTATAAAAAGGAAAATTAGGCACTTGTATGGGGTATAAAATCTCTCACTATCATAGTGGTACTTTGGTGGGGTTGACATATTCATATTCATAGCAATAAATTGTGGTTTGGTTATTGTACTGTCACATCTGTGGAGTGGTTCAGTATAGTATAATATTTGTTTGTAGAACGTGTTAAACTTTGTGTAGAATTTTAAAAAAGTGTGGAATTTAAATATAAACAAGAACATTAAAAAACATAAAACTACAACTAAAACCAGTCATGCTTTGTTTAGCGAGTTAAGGTGATCTTCATTTTTTATTAGAATGTAAGGAAAGCCGTTCTTCTTCCTAAGATATACGTTACCATTAACATACCAGCAGTAATCGTAATGTTCTGACTTCGCAATTTCCCTTGCAAGAAAATAAAGGCGCTTGCTTTAGGTGTTAAATATTCTGATACATATATAGGTGTGTTACCTCCTAGTCCCAAATGGCTGGCGTTCAGCATGTTAGATCTATTCTCAATGTTGTACTTGCGTGTCGCACTTAAAATGTTGTTCTTTAGGAGGGTGTTCGACAGTTCAACGGTGAGGTTCGAACTCATGTTATCTTTCCTGTTGGTAAAACGGCTAACATCTCTTATATCACCGGAGTGTAACTCAATACTAAGCCCAGAACAAAGTTTCAATATGAAATCGAAAAGCTCCGACTTCTTTGGTATAGTAATTGAAGTACACATAACAGATCAACAAATACCTTATACTTAAATCTACGACAGAAATTAAAAAGAAATACCTGGGAATAGTTTTCTCATCGTTTTCTGGGTTTCCTGATCCAACCACTTAAATTTCAGTGCAGTTGCTGCGTCAGCCATATTTAATTTTTCTAGACCTTCGTATGGTAAGATTATGTCTGATAATGATTAAAAACTGGTAAATTATGTTTGTGAGTCAATATATAAGGCACATTTAATCTTATAGTCTTACTTTCTAATATAACAGTTAGCAGAATAATTGTATCCCATATTTGTTAATAGTTTTATCAGAGTTCAAGTATATTAGTAATAAATCACTGGGCAGTTGGTTCTACATAGTGGAGGTGCGCAGCAAAAACTGCCTTAAACACGTCATTCTTATATTTCGTCCGATGATGAAACTTAGCTGCAGGTATTAAAATTATCCGAAAAACTCTTCTAAACAATCTCCATGGTAATTGCGGTAGAAGATCTCATCTACGCAACGCCAAGAGATCAAGCCGCTCAGCGAATTTCAGGAACTACTGTCGCGTGGCAACATAATTTGCCATTTAAATTTTATTTTCACCAATAAATAATGGCCTAGGTAAATGGTAATTATGTATGTGTAATATCAAATATACCGATATCATAATATAAATATATATATCGATTGGGAGCTTTGTTCGAAAGCGCTTTCGCTGCTTTTGAGAAATAATGAAAAATCATTTAAACGGTTTTCAAAGCCCTTTTATAATAAAACTAGCTTGACTTGTTTTTAATAATTTATCACAGTACACAGTAATATTTTTTACAATTTACTAACAAACATAATGTTATAGCAACAAAGTTATATCTTGTGTGAGTCGGCCTAAATACCTCCTTATTAGAAAAATAAAATAAATACGAAACAGATATAAATCTGTTTAACGCCATTGGCTTTGATCTTGATTTATTTTTTGTTATGTATTTTCCAATAGTTAACATATAACTTCTTTTCTAGTCCTTAATACTACTGCAAATGCGGGAAACGTAGATCAGTATCTCGGAGATTATCTTCCATCCACTTGTCTGCTTGTGCTATCATCTCCTCATCAAAGTAATCGCGCCAACCGCCTGACTTGCCTGTCGAATTATTTTTTTTTAAATACGCAACAATCGCGATTAATAGATCCCTACATACATTGTAAAGAAGCAGTGGCGTAGCAATAAGGTAGGGCAGGGCTGGCAAAATGCCACGGGCCACCGACCGAAGAGGGCCCCTGCCCAAGAGATATTATGTTCTATGGTTGAATGTGAAGTCCCTACGCATTGGGCTAGCGTGGGGACTACAGACCATTCCCTCTCGCCTAAGAGAGGAGGCCTATGGCCATTAGTGGGACATATACAACGCTGAAGTTTATTAAAAATAACCTGACGATTTTTACTGATATCAAAAGAATTGCTACGAAATAAGATTTGCCATGGGCCCTAGGTGGTATAGTTACGCCACTGTGTAGAAGGTTTTATGAAAGTTACTTTTGTCGTTTTATTCACGTCTAATATGGCTATCGCTATACACACGGTTTCACCGTTTCGCGAAGTAATAACCCTACCAATATTTAATATTCCAAAAGGCATTTATGAGCACATTCTATTAGCTTGGCCGATAATACTCGCTTGATTACAAAGGAAATTAGTCAAAAGTGACTGTGATTTTTTAGCATCGAGAAATTGATATCGTATTGTTTTAATTCCCGCCATAGTATTGATGCTAATTAAAAAAAAACAATATATTATAGTGAATGATATATATATATTTATTGTTTTTAATTCAAACATCACATACTTAGATAAAATCAAATGTATGGTGATTTTGGTTATATTATTATATGTATATTACCACGATTAGTAAAAAAGGAATGAAGGGATAATATAAATACTAAGTACTATTTAAGTTATGACAGTTTACTTGTTTAAAATGAAAAATACCCCTGGGTTTGATTATTAAAATCCATATACAAGTGATGTAATAAATTAAACAACTCTTGATTGTTTAGAAATAAATTTTACCTTTTCTTACAAACTCTTCTTTGGGATACATCATACCGAGTTCCTTCATAATGTCATTGTTCACAGATGCATTGTACTTGAAGTTCTTAATATCGAGATGGTCACAGAGCACTGCTATTTGGTCGACTGTGTATTCTTTACCCAAAAACTTGCACACTTTTCGCACTTCGTGACTGAGATCCTGGTTAAATAGTATGGGAAGATTGTTGTCCCCTCCGTACGCGGGGAACCTTCCCCCCGACGAAAAAAAATTGAAGGAAAAAAAGGAACGTTTTTTTTTTTTGGGGGGGGGGGGGGGGGGGGGCCGGCCCCCCCCGATCCGGGGGGCGGGGGCCCCGCGGGGGGGGGGGGGGGGGGGGGGGGGGGGGGGGGGGGGGGGGGGGGGGGGGGGGGGTTTTTTTTGTTTTTTTTTTCCCCTTTTCCCCCCAAAGTGGGGGGGGGGGGGGGTTGCGGTCCCCCCCCCCCCCCACCCCCTACACCCCCCCCCCCCCCCCCCCCCCCCCCTCCCCCCCTTTTTTTTTTTTTTTTTTTTTTTTTTTTTTTTTTTTTTTGGGGGGTGTGGGGGGGGGGCGCCCCGGGGCGCCCCCGGCGGGGGGGGGGGGACTCGGGGTTTTTTTTTTTTTTTTTTTTTTTTTCCCCCCCCCCCCCCCCCCCCCCCCCCCCCCCTCCCCCCCCCCCCCCCCCCCCCCCCCCCCCCCCCCCCCCCCCCCGGCGCCCCGGCGGGGGGGGGGGGGGGGGGGGGGGGGGGGTGTGTTCCTCTTTTTCTTCTTCCCCCCCCTCCCCTCCTTCCCGCCCGGGTCGCCCCTTTTTTTCTTTTTTTTTTTTTTTTTTTTTTTTTTTTTTTTTTTTTTGTTGTTGGGGTTTCCCCCCCCCCCCCCCCCCCCCCCCCCCCCCCCCCCCCCCCCCCCCCGCCCGCCCCCCCCCCCCCCCCCGGGGGGCCCCGTCCTCTCCCCCCCCTTTACAAAAAAACAAAAAAACCCCACCCCCCCCCCCCCCCCCCCCCCCCCCCCCCCCCCCCCCCCCCCCCCCCCCCCCCCCCCCCCCCCCCCCCCCCCCCCCCCCCCCCCCTTTTTTTTTCTTTCCTCCCCCTCTCCTTCTTTTTTTTTTTTTTTTTTTTTTTTTTTTTTTTTTTTTTTTTTTTTTTTTTTTTTTTTTTTTTTTTTTTTTTTTTTTTTTTTTTTTTTTTTTTTTTTTTTTTTTTTTTTTTTTTTTTTTTTTTTTCCCGTTTGTTTTCTCCCCGCCGCCCGCGCCCCCCCCCCCCCCCCCCCCCCCCCCCCCCCCCCCCCCGCCCCCCCCCCCCCCCCGCCGCCGGCCCCGCCGGCCCCGGGGCCCCCCCCCCCCCCCCTCCCTTTTTTTTTTTCTTTTTTTTTTTTCCCCCCCCTCCTCTTTCTTTCTTTTCTTTTTTTTTTTTTTTTTTTTTTTTTTTTTTTTTTTTTTTTTTTTTTTTTTTTTTTTTTTTTTTTTTTTTTCTCCCCCCCCCCACCCAACCCCCCCCCCCCCCCCCCCCCCTATGTGGTAAAGTCATAATTGTAACAACAACTTTTATAATAATTATTTAATAACAATATTAAATTTCGATAAATATATAAATGGGATCTAGTACTCTTTTGAAGTTTAACAATTTGTCAAACAACTTTTACGTAGTGTTCATAATAAAAACTCAAAAATTATTCTTTCTTTCTAGGTTTAACTTTTTTATTCATGTTCCGCTCCTACCAATACTTTTTAAATTCGAACCAGTAGTTTATGCGCGTGTTTTATTAAACAAACATCCTTCAGTTGATTATTAGTATATATAGGATTAAAGGCAATCGGGTAGTTTTGTGTTACATCGTATATTGTTTAAATTATTATATCCAGTGGCGCATCGACCTTTTTAGTTCTGGACTGTCAACCTAATAGGCAAGTATGTGATCAGCCTTCTGTGCCTGACACTCGCCGTCAACTTTTTGGGGCTAAAGCAAGCCGGTTTAGAGCGAATGTTAAGTGCGCGCATAGAGAGATGTCCATTGTTGAACATACGGGGATCGAACCTACGATCTTACAGATGAGAGTCGCACGCTGGAACCTGGCGGTCAATACAGCTCTCTAATTCCAAGATTTCCAAACATACCTTCTTTAAGTCTTCATAGAACAAAAACAACAAGTTTGGATCATGCCGCTTCTCCCATGCTTCTTTTAGATGCTCGAAGAATGGCGTCCAATAATCTTAAATAATAGTAAATTATATGAAAATGTTTGTCTTTTTTAGAGATTTTTATACGGAATTGTAGAGGCTTTTGGTTTATAAACGAGACTTTAGTAGTCAACGCACCTGGCGTATAGCCCTGGGTAAGGCGCTGGTAACATATCATATAATCATAAAAACCTTGTATGTATATGTGAGAGAAGAAAATAAAGATTATTATTATTATTATTATTATATTATTGCATTTGTGGCATATCGAGACATTACATAGACAAGACATTTACACTTTATATAGGAAAACATCTAGAAAAATTCACATCAAAAAGCACACTCACGTAAGTCATTAATAAAGTAATGCCAAAATGTTTTGAAGTCTCCATCGAAGCCCATAGTTCTTACGGACCGGCATAAATAATAGAAGGAAACGGCTGCATCACGTGGGTCTCTTGCTACGTACACCACTTTCGCATCCAATACTTTCGGTGACAGCAGTGACAGTGGCAGATGAGTCTTAATGAACCTTGGGGAAGGTGCAGCCGCCACTTTCCGTACAATGGATTGAGAAAATGCACCCAATTGCTTCAGTTTTACCTCGTCGTCTTTGAGTCTTTCCTCAAGTTCAGCTACAAGCTTTGGGTGAAATATCATAGTGCTCCTGTGGAAAAATAATATCGTTAGGTGATTAACAATTATTAAAAAACAGGAATTCATTTTAATTAAACAAATATAGTTCAGATAATTATGATTTTGGGTACTTGCCTTAATAAATTTTGCCTTAATAAATTCCTTTTGTTTGTTTTCTAAAGCTGGCGGCTTCAACACTTTTTCCCTTTGGGGGTGTTGGGGTTTTGTTGAAAGGGCGGGGGCCGTGGCGAACTGGGTATGGGGCATGGAAAAACTGTCCCCCCCCCTCCCGGTCCCGGTTGCTTTTTTGTGGGGTTTTGGGGGGTGTTTTTTTTTTTTTTTTTCCCCTTTTTTTTTTTTTTTTTTTTTTTTTTTTTTCCCTTTTTTTTTTTTTTTTTTTTTTCTTTTTTTTTTTTTTTTTTGGGTTGGGGGTGTTTTTTTTTTTTTTATTTTTTTTTTTTTTTTCTCCCTTTCCTTTCCCCCTCCTCCTGGGGGGGGGGGGGGGGGGTGTTTTTTTTTTTTTTTTTTTTTTTTTTTTTTTTTTTTTTTTTTTTTTTTTTTTTTTTTTTTTTTTTTTTTTTTTGGGTTTGGGTTTGTGGTTTTGTTTTTTTTTTTTTTTTTTTTTTTTGTGGTGTGTTGTGTGGTGTGGTTGGTTTTTGTTTTTTTTTTTTTTTTTTTTAAACCCCCCCCCCCCCCCCCCCCCCTTTTTTTTTTTTTTTTTTTTCCTCCTTCCCCCCCCCTCTTCTTTTTTTTTTTTTTTTTTTTTTTTTTTTTTTTTTTTTTCCCCCCCCCCCCCCCCCCCCCCTTTTTTTTTTTTTTTTTTTTTTTTTTTTTTTTTTTTTTTTTTTTTTTTTTTTTTTTTTTTTTTTTTTTTTTTTTTTTTTTTTTTTTTTTTTACTCTACTTTCGATAACCGACTTACGGCTGCTGCCTCGAATTTTGCGGAGCAAACCGCCAATTGCCCTCCCTCCTTCCCCCCCCCCCCCCCCCCCCTCCCCCCCCTTTCCCCCCCCATTTATAAAAAAAAACTTAAAAAAAAAAATTTTATAAAAAAATAAAAAATTTTTTTTTTTTTTTAATTATAAAAAATTTTAAAAAAGTAGGATTGAAGCGATTAATTAATAAATTGATTATTATTGTACGCAATCATCTCAAGTGGAAATGAAGCCGTTGGTAGGTAATCTAATATATAAAATTCTCGTGTCACGGTGTTTGTTATTAAATTCATCCTAAATGGATCAACCGATTTTTGTGAAATGTTGTGTGCGTACTGGTTAGGTCTGCGAATTGGACAACATCTAATTGACATCCCCCTAAATGTTGTTTTTATATCTTTATGATACAGCATACAAAAACACATACAACCCCTTAAATTTCACCAGTAGGGGTGAATCCTTATTTTATTAAATAAATTATATTTAGATATAATATACATGACAAAACAACGTTTGCCGGGTTAGCTAGTAAAAATATAATATTACCTGATCTTGCATAGGTAACAACATACACATCGCTTGGTCGGACTTCCAAGTTGTAGATCTCTGCTGCCATATCTCTGAAACCTTGGGTGAGAACATACCCCTTAGGTCCTACACGAACGAAACCGCCTCGTTCACCTGAAAATTAATTCCTGGAATTTGACTAAACTTAACATACACTTTAATATTTTTCTTATTTAATGTATTAACAGTCTTCAAACCATCGAATAAAATACGTGTTTTGAATTATTGTGAAACAAAGGAATTCAGCGCGGTGGTCAATTCTAGTAAGTCTAATTTTAAGAAAATTTTTAGTTTGTATGAAATAAATATGAATTTCACTAAGACGTTTCACGGTATTCCATGCATTTTCTCCATATAAACATATTCCTCGATTGCTTTCTCTGGCTTTTAACAAGTCCGGCCATGCTGGTCATTTTATGTCTATTAGTATTATAGTTATTAATAGAAGCAACGAATTATGCAGAATTAGCTTAACAATGCGATACTTTTGAAGGGTCAATTAGTTATAGCAACAAAAACGAAAAAGAACACGTATATAGACCAACCATTTCTTTTTTTTTAATCATACTCGTACATGCATAAATGTGTTGAACCTTTCATTCGAATTCTTCGCGAATATAACAGAACAATCACTACTTATCTTGCTATATTCGATAGTAGGCTGATCAATTTAAAAAAAAAGACATCGTACAGCGCCTACCTTGTACCTAATCCACAATGTTGAGCAAAAATTACTAGTAAAATCTAAAATTAAAGTGTAATAATGTGTGTGCGATATGTACTGGTTTATATTAGTTAATATCTTACCTGTAAAAAGTTTCATCATCGCTTCATTCGTTTCTGGTTCCACATCCCTAATTTCCAATGGATACTCCATTTTAGATTAAAATAACAGTAAAACCGTTGATTGTATCTTCGTCGTTGATGTAACTGAACTAAAATCATATCTTGGTAATCTATTTTTATTTACGAGTATGTAATCGTAAATATAAAATTTTAAGAAGATACCACAAGATAATTTGCGTGTTGATTATTTTAATATTGAATCGATACCTACAGCTTTGCTAAGGCTTATTATAATATAAATGAATATTTAAACGATCCTAGTGCTTGGATATGAGTTGCTCCAGTATAAATAGGTAACGCGACTGAATCTCTCGGCTGCATTTCCAGACTCTGGGGCGATCGTCAACATCCACGACTGTTTTAATGTAAAGTGGGAACAAACCGTGATCCATGTGGTATCAAAGTATTTCAGTATTATTATTATTTTTTTATGTAGCCAAGTCCACATTTCAAGGATCGTCATGCTCGCTTAAATGTCTCTCCCTAAAATATGGCGAGGGGGCCGTTGGCTGGCCATGCGTCATACTCGTGAACGGGTGCTACTTGAGGTGACTGGTCGTACTTGAATTCGTGTATGCGGTGATGTTAATTATTTCGACTATGTGTTTGCGTGTTGTTCCCACGAGAATGTAAGTGCGTGCTCCTATTTCACCATGCCTCCTGCTGATAGAGGACAACTCTTTGTTTTTAATTTATGTTATTATTATTAATTACTTAAGATGTCATGTGGAACATGGTTTAATGGTTGCAGCTCCTTACAAACGTTGTGTAAAAAAAAATAAAAAACATGGCGATTAAAAAGAGTGGCGGAGTATTTATTGCCAGTTCTTCTCTTCCGTTCTACGCCCTTGATTTGAGAACTGGCACTAAATGTAAAATTAGAAGCATTAATATTATGTATTTCTTTGCTGACAAGTCATAAGTGTACAATGTGTTACCCATATGATTAAATGATTTTTGAATTTGAATTTGATGTGGCGATTGTAAAATTATATAATGTATACGATTTACGATTTTTTATATTTTTTTTAATTTTTTGTTTAATTTATGTACTAAAAGGTACTCTTCCTTTTTATTGGTCCGCAAAACCAGCAAGTGCTTACGTAAAATAACGTAGGGACTGACAATGGTAATGGCGATTTACATCATCGGCTACATGGGAGTTGAAATCCCAAAGACATTTTCACGTGCAAATAAGACATGGCGAAACGGACAATGACGGATATACACGCATACTGTCTGTTAGCTCTTGACGCAATATTCATATTGTTTATGTAATACACGCCCATTTGAATATTGTGTATAATCTATATCTTCATGGAACGTATTGCTTATCTAATCTTAACAATTGCAAATCATGATGACTTTAAAATACTGTAAGACTGTAATATCCGTACGGTTCCAAGATTATCTATTAAGAACACGAGTGCTCAGAATATACATATTTGTGAATATATTTTTCGTTATATTAAACCTTCCATACTGCAAATAATGTTGTGGTTGTACAATTTATTACAATATAGACGATATATTTCTAGCTAAGAAAAATGGTTTGTAATTCAGACAGAACCGACCTATGATATATAGCTTTTACAGTAGGAGGTAAAAAATACATGTTACCATATAGAGCCACTTGCACACGTAGGGAATGAAATCTCGAGATCGTTAATTCGAGATCTCGTGGGATTAAGAATTACAATCTCGCGAGATCTCGGTACTTTCGAGAACTCTACAGACGATGAAAACTGCTAAGATGTGTTTATGAGTTTAATTTATATACAATATTATTTTAAAGATAATACTTATTCCTGTTCCTATTAAATTATTAACGAATTATTTGGAAAATTTCGTTACCTTTCAACTGTTTCAAGCCATCTTTGTAATTACAGGGATTTTCAATTATGGGCTCCCACACAAAACTGCGAATTCGCATCGCATCGCAAATATCTGCGAATTCGCACGAACGCACCGCAAGAAATTCCGATCTGCTTCGCATCGCACATTCTTGCGATATTACGTCATCCTTGGTGACGCCATTTTAGTCCGCTCTGAGACAGCTTTAGAGAAAGACGCGCGGCGCCTCCACCGCCTTCTTTGTTTATAAAAAATTGCGGAATATGATTTGGATTTTTTAATATTTTTAATTGAGGAACGTCCCATCTTTTGGGACACAAGTGATGAACATTATAAAAAAAAAATTATTAAGCTAGATGCGTGGAAGAGCGTCTGTGAAAGTTTGCATCAGAGTTCGTAATCGTAATAAATGGATGAACCCAGAATCTTCTTTTTCTTTTATATCTATTTAACAATAACAGCAGTGCAATAATCTTTTTCGATCCATCTTACGCTTCCTAAAAACACGTCCAGTACGGCTGACTACGAAGGAATGGTCGCCCTACCAAACGGTTTGCCGCACTAAATCGTATCGCAGAAATTCGCATCGCATCGCAGTTTTGTGGGGGAGTCCATTAACAACGCTGTGGTTGCATATATTCGACACTTAGAAATTAACTTTTGTGATATTACTGTGACTTGACCCATCACAAAAATTTTACTTTTAACAATAACAAGAAATTCAATATTATTAGTAGCGAAAATAATGGTAAATAAAACAACGATACTTCATTAGTCAGCTCCCGAGAGAGTTTTTTCATTCACCTAAATTGAGATTAACATAGATAAAATCTTTTATTACTAAGGGTTGGTGAGCGAGAGATCTTAATTCTATCGGAGAAGACAGAGTTTTTTTATAGTAAAAAAAATAAAGACAATTGTGTTGAGATTATTTTAATTAAAACTACTAAATATTTATTGTCAAAAACCTACTTCATTTTCAATGAGGTAGCAGTTCCATTATACGGTACAAATTATAATCTAACGTATTGCAGAAAAGAGGTGGCAGTTTTATACAAAATTATATCTGAAGACCTTGAAACCCTTGGTTTGTTTTTCTCAGAATTAAAGCCGAACCATTACTTACAAAACCGAAGTCTCCATGGCTGATGTCCACCGTTTGCATATACAAACATATTTTAATAAAAATACCTCAATACTTTTTCCTCCATTAGAATCAAAAAACCCATCAATACCTTTTTAATGAAAAAAAAATTACATACCCTTGAAAAGCCCGTACTTATATTATTTTTACAAGATTAAATGCTTATTAGACCAAAATCTATATTTCAGACATTTTGACTTACAGCAAAAGAAAATCTGCTTTTTTTTCTTTACAAATACTTACTTCTTCCCATTTAAAAACTTAACCTACTTAACATTTCAGCGGCGTTGATTTTTACATTCGTTTACTTACAGCAAGTTTAGGGAACCTACAGTTTTGGTTTTTTTTTTTACCATTTACGACATTTTATTTCAACCAAACATTACATTACCAAATGACCCACTGCATTTCTAGATCTAATCATAATTATAAACTAATCTTACATCTTGAATTGCAATTAAAAGTACCCAAATACATAAATTTCCTGCATACAGCATATTTACCGCCTGTAAATTGATAATATTTCCGCGCGTACATTTTTCTTCCTTATTTACAGCGTTTTAAAGGTTTGTGATTTAAAAAACTGTTTGCTGTAACTAGCCAAACACGTACTTATAGTAACTTTGGATAAAAAGTTTACATTGCAAATGGTGACTGGCAGTTAAATAAATATATGTTTCAAAAATGGTAGCAATATCATGGATAGGTCAGACACTATTAATTTTTTTCCGAAATTAATAAAGTTTTTTGGCTCTGGTGAACAATTGCAATATGTCTACTTACAGCAAATGTGCTTTCCTACGTCGATATATTAATAATTATATTTCAGATGTAAGCAACACTTGGTTGTATCTTAGTTACTACTGGTTAGTAAAAAAACATTTGGTGGTTGTTGTTGTATGAGAGTTGTACCTATGAGATGTTTAAATAAAACTCTTTGTTTGAAGCTGGGTAACAACTGTCATTAATAGTTTAGACCATGAGCTTATAACATAAGATTAAGGGTTGGTTGCGACGCTTACAAAAACCTGTTTATTGATTCTTAAATCTAAGTGACTCTTCTGTTACCTATAAAGATTATAAGTGAAGTCGACCTATTGGACATTCTCGGAAACGAGAATGTTAAAATACAATTTATAAGTGTGGTAAAAACTAAAGGGCTCAATTTTGGCTTCAAGTGTACAATAATTGTTTACATTTGGTTTACGCTTCTGATTACCTAAAATATTTTTATGTAACTTAACTAAAGCTAGGTTACATAACTTGGGGCATTAATTATTTTCACGGCAAACACCTGACGCACTGCAGAACCTCGGCAAGGCCAATAGCAACCTAAACGTGTTGTAATACTGAACACGGAGCGTATTCAACACCGTCCGAGTAAAACTGCCCTACATGCAAATAGCGGCTAAACGTTACACTCCGCCGAAGCTTTTTTTTTTTTCTTTGGCACTAACATTGAGAGACATTCGATGAATCCAAAAAAATGTGTCAGACACGAAAATCAGCTGTTCTACTTCTTCTTTTAAAGCGGTAAAAGAATAATGATCATAACAGGCGCAAGAGAACTTATCAAATATGCGCAATTATGTCACCCGCCACTACATTATTATTATACGTATCCTTATTAAAATACTTATGATAATAGTTTCTAATGTACTTAATCTTTCTAATGTAATTAGCACTAGTAAAAGAAGAACATAGAGTGTATTAAAACTCTTTATTAAGACATCACAATGTTTAAAATTCTAAATTGTTTCATAGGTGACGCCACCTTTAATAAATGTATTAATGCGGGAAACGAAGGTCTGTGTCACGTAGGTTTTCTTCCATCCACTTATCCGCTTGGGCCGTCATCTCTTCATCAAAATAGTCTCGCCAGCCACCAGTCTTACCTGGAGACAGAGTAGAAGAATATTCTTAGTACAAATATGACAATACTTTGGTTATATTTAGGCTGACTGAACCGCTGAACTAAATACTGTGTTCAAGGTGAAGCATAATTAAAAACGACAGTTATAATCGACACTTGTAATCCAATAATCTATAGTAATTCATTATTTACCTTTTCTGATAAATTCGTGTTTATCGTGAACTAATCCAATATCTCTCAATAGGTCGCTGTTTACGGCTGGATTAGTCTTGAAATTTTTGAAGTTGAGATGGTCACAAAGCTCGATGATTTGTTCTTCGGTGTATGTCTTGCCCAAAAAGTCAGCCACGCGATGTACTACGCCTTTGAGATCCTGTAATTTGAGGATTGCTTTAAGATGTGATGTGACTTGGCCATTTAAAAGAGTTACGCCAGTTCTTCTCATCTTTAACTGACGTTCATAACTGTATGTACGTTGTGTTATCAATAATATTTTATTTGAAAACATTACTCACGAAACTAAGATATGATACATAGGTTCCTATCCGTATGCATCAATAACAAATACAATTTCTTTATGTTTTTTGGTGTGGGTTTAAGTAAGCGCTTACACGTGAATAATTCTAAATTTTGAGAAGCAATGATGGTAGTGTTTTATTTAAATTTACATAATCTATGAACGATAGTTTCTCACTTAATGCTAAAAAGTTAATCGCTATGATTGAAATTTCCTATAGTTATCAAACCTAGGTACCTACTACTACATTCAATACAGATAATTTGAACACAGAATCTCAAATAAATCCGTAAGAATCGAATTGCAGACTGAGTACAACCAAATATTCTATTACGGAACACCATGGGTTATCACAAAAAACGATTGAGTGGTCCCCTCATTTTAACGGATTCAGGCGCTGAGACGTAATTAGTCTGCTTTGCCTAACACAGTGAAAATAATTCTGCTTACTGAGACTGACGCATCGAGAGCGGCTGAAGATCGAGTCGATTTGTTCTAGTTGCAGTTTCAGAACGCCTTTAATGACTCTAGGCTTATCTAACTAAGGGGGCCATGCTGCATGTTCAAATACCTATTTTAATCCTACTATAGATTTCCAAGTTTTATTTTTAGTTTGCAATGTATAATTAAATTTGTACGGAATCTCTTTAATACACTCAAGCAAATCAATATCATTATTTCGCAGTGTCTCATATTTACTAAAAATGATTATGTATTATTAAAAAATTTTATTATTAGTGATTCACAATTTTTTAACCTACATAGCAATAGATAATAAAAATTTAAAAAAAACCAGGCTGCAATTACAGGTAAGCTAGACTGATCTAAAGATTAAAAATTTATAAATTGTCTTTGGCTAAAGCAATACTTCTTCCTAATAAAATCCCAGTGGCTTTAAATGAACTGCCTTTCAATGAATTTAATGAAATGTACTTAAAGAAAAGCTGTGAAAAATAGGCTTAAGCTATAGAGTCAACGATTACATTCTAGTTGAATAAAAGGGCCTAAAAGTGACTTTACCCCTCCTAGACAGGCTAATGCTTCTAATCAATTTAAGCGATATTTGTTGTAATCATAAGTGTATGTTTGGATAAGGGATATGCTGTTTCACAAAGAGTACCGAAAGGTGGTATCTAGGTGCTGGGAATAAGGCTTTTCCCCTCTCAGCCTACACCCTCTGTCTCTTTGGCGATGAGTAGGGACTGCCTCCCAAATTTAATGTTGGACAGATACGTGTAATAAATTTATCGATAAATCTTATGTTCCATAATAGAACATAATTATTATTTTGATTTTAATTTAAATAATTCAAAATTTTGAGAAGCAATAAATCTTGGTAGTAAAAGTTTTTATTTAAATTTACTTATAATCAATTAACGATAGTTTCTAATTACAGTAAGTTAATGGAGTTAACATGTATGATACAAAACATTTCCTAAGTTATTTATGGGAAATTAGGATCACCTTTACTACATTCAATACAGATAATATTGAACATGGAATCTGCCAAATAGAATCTCAACATAAATTATTCATCGAGTAAATTGCCATATCTGAACTTGGGAGAATCAAATATTCATATTTTATAGAAAGCGGAAATGGTTCTGTTATGGGCAGATTAACAAAATCGGAAACTATATGTAAATGGTTTTTATGGATTCAGCCGCTGTATTCTGCTTGAATCACGTATATGAATTTACTTTGCTAAATAAAGTGAATTAAATTATTAAAAACAATGTATGCTGAAAGGACTACGTCACAGATACCAAGTAAAGGGTTTTAAGTAAATTAGATAGTCGAACTTCACTTGTTCTGAAGTATCGACACGACTTCACAGTAATTTGACTTTTTAATACTACGATGGGGCTGATCTATAACTCACTTGCAATTACCGAGCTGCAGAAAAGTTGAGGTCCCGTCTATGTTCAAAAAATGTTATTAAAAACCGTTTCCAAAGTTCTTATTTTTATAGTTTATGCTAGGAGTGAACCGAATTCAATTTGGCTGGTACGTGAGAATCTTTTTTATGGCCACTAAACAAAAGCTATTTATAACATTGATCCAAAATGGCATTAGCCAAAAATGCTCTCTCATTACACAAGCAACTTAATATCAATCTACTTTAAAAAAAAGTAGTATTTACAATTTTCTTAACAGCTGACACGTTAAAATAATAATTAAATGTGAATAAAATCATTTTAAAAGTTTGGCCCCTCTGAGCATATAAAGGTACACCTTTAACGAAGGCACCATTTTAGCGCTGTATTGCGATACTTATTCGTTGAGCGAGGAGAGCACCAGATCTGGGGTCACCGGTACTATCTACCAGGCGCCAAGTTAAATCTTTAATTAGCGCCTGTGTAGTTGAACCCCACGGCACAAGAGTCTCTACTCCAAAGGGAACAACATTGAAACTGGAGGCAAGCTCTTATTTTGAGCTGTAAATATAAATATAAATAAAATTTCATTTACATATGTAATATTACCTTCTGTAATTCCTCATAGAATATAAAAAGTAGGTTGGGATTGTTACGTTGCTCCCACGCCTCCTTTAAGTGCTCGAAAAACGGTGTCCAGTAAACTGAAAGTAAACGAACTTAATTTTATATTTCATTTTAATTACGAGAATTTAAATAATAATAATAATTTATTTTCTCCCATATAACCAGGCTTCCATTCCACAGCAACATATTGAGTGGTATCAAAAAGTAATTACATAATATATGGGTAGGCAAACAAATTTAACGTTTTAAAAAAGGAAAGAAAAACAAAGCAAAACAGTCACCTAGTAAAAGTTAGTAGAAGTAAAGTTGTTTGGGTGTAGGTGATGTGTGTGTTGTGATAGTGGGAGAGAGTATGTACTCAAAAAATAATGAAATTATACAAAATTTATGATATTATTATACACTTATTTAAATTTATGATATTATTCACTTACGTAAGTCTTTCATGAATAAGTTCCAGTACGTTTTGAAGTCTCCATCAAAGGACATCGTTCTTATAGAAGAACCCATGTGCCAGAAAGAGACAGCAGCATCTCTTGGGTCTCTTGCTACGTATACTACCTTAGACTCCAAAAGCTTCGGTGGTAGCAGAGTGATTGGTAAATGAGATTTAATAAAGCGCGGTGACGGTGCTGATGCTAACGGCTTTGCGAAGGGTTCCGAAAACAATTCCAGTACTTTCTTGACATGCGGGTCATTATTTTTCTCTTCTAAAATCTCTTGTTTTAGGGATGGATATAACATCATTGCGTGTCTGTATAGATTTACAGGAACATTAGTTTAAAAACTATTATTATTATTTATTTTTATATATCAGGGGGCTAACGGACAGGACGCTCATCTGATGTTAACAAAGAAAGAAAGAAAGAAAGAACTTTATTATACACAAGCTATCCGTCAAACGTCATTGCCATGTGGTTATCACTTTTAGAACAATTGTGCCTCACTTGAAACTAGATAAATGTATTGCTTGTGTGCGGAGTTTGTTTAGAAATTTAGAAGATCTAACCAAGTTTCCACTGAGGAGCAGATTTATGGTTCACCACTATCTGTTAATGTTTTGGCAGGGAATCTCGAAATAATTAAGTTTTTTGGTAGATTATTAGCATCTTCTGTCTCGAAAAACCTAATATCTTGACAGGAACTATTTTTGTTAAAAATGGGAATCCCTATGGAATTATGATGGATTTGGATGTCTTATAGTCCAAGCATTGGTGCACCAACAATTTTAAAACTCGGTCCATGTCGTACCTGTTTATGAGCAGAATTCATAACAACGAAACAAAAAAACAGAAACTATTGCCGAATTATATATTATTAGCCGTCTGACAGACATATATAGTTAATGGGAACTAGAAGGCTCGGTAGCCTTACGCGATGCCTTTTAGAAACAAATGTTAATTGAAACCAAAGTAAGGTAAATCTATTGGTTATTGATCTACTTAAGATCTTAATATGAGAGTCGTAGACCTAAAGCCAACACTGCTTAATCAACAAGAGAAGCAGATTAGGTCATTTAAGGTCCACACAATATGTTTACTTATCTCTGAAACTTTATAGCAGACAAATACAAAATATATATTATTTATTTATCTGGCTATATGTAATCAAAGTAGTATCTTTCTTGTTCTAAATCATTCGCCTATGACATCAATTAAAAACGGGAATCTCTGGAGCGGTCACCGCACGCGATCGGCAGTTTGGATAGTACATTATAGTCCCAAGTCGTTGGACCACCAGTCCAGGGAGACTAGCTCCTGGGTCCATTTGTCGTGGGAGCGACTGTTTAGTCGAGCAGACATTTAACAGCTGCGAACCATAAAAAACAGGAACTATAGGCAAGCACCGCCCCCCTTTCCCCCCCCCCGGAGAACAAAACCCCTCCATCATCGTTTAGAATTTCTACATATACATTATATGGACCAAAATCAAAGGTCTCAAAGGAAACCATGAAATTCTAATGTATTAGAAACTTCTTAACAACGTCATCAGCTGGCGACCAAAGTATGAAGTAGTCCATGCCTCTCTTGATTGTAGTATATACGCAACTCAGATTCTGAGCTGTCTTCGACTTAAATTTAAACATCTACATCAAGAAGATTGTTATCTTATCTCTGAAACTCCATCTTGTAATTACTGGTTGGCATTATTATTCTGCGGTCGAACAGAACTGCTCCAAGTAGTGGTTCGACTGCAACATCGAGTCCGTCTATGCCCCTAGGTGTTGCACATGCCTAGACAATTCTTACCTGATCGTGCATAAGTGACAACCCAAACATCGCTCGGTCTAATTTCCATGTTATAAATATCGGCTGCCATTTCCTTATACCTCTCAGTAACGAGGTACCCCTTAGGACCAATACGAACAAAACCACCGCGTTCACCTGTAAATTCATAACAGCTTGTAGACACTAAAGTACTGAACCTTATTGACAGACTTATATTGTGATTGGGTTGGCTGTCGGTATTCCTATTGGAAGTAGTATTGACACAGGTTCTTAAATCAAGGACGTAGACTGGACGAGAACTGGACGGGACTCTCTAACAAAAAACTCACCCCACAATAATAGACAACCCAATAATAAATTGTCTTCTTCTTTTCTTTTTTGTTGGCGACCGCCGCCGCAAACAGCGTTGTTTTTTTTTTTTGAATTTTAGTTTTCGAAGGCCCAGGAAAAAACAACTTTTCCAATATTTTAATAATAAAGGTAAATTATAGGAATAAAAACCTTTTAAAAAAAATAATGCACTAAAAATAATTACAAATCGTCCTTATCTACATTATTTTATTGGGGAATGTAAAACATAATTACTGAACTTTCGTTTTTAATGTTCTTCGCCGTATACGAAAATGTTAATTGTGCACACAGTGTGTGTATACCCCCGCGGTAAAAAAAAAAATTTATTTCAGTAACGTGAATAAATAACAAACACAAATATAATATTGTGTGTGGTTTACACGAGTTCTACACTTTTTGGTACACTATCTAATATGACTCGCGTTTATTCACATTAAAGTTATTACAATTAACATAATTCTCAATCAAGGCATCTGCAAACATTACAAGTAATAAAGTAATAAATAAAATACGAAAAACAATAATTATTAATATACAATATAGAATTATTATGTAAAATAAAAATGATTTAGTGCCCACGAACATATTTTCTTTATTGTAACTAAAGTAAAGATCAACTAATACCTTATACTTATTTCTAAAATTGAAATTAAAAAGAAATACCTGGGAACAGTTTTCTCATTGTTTTCTGAGTCTCCTGATCCAATTCCTTAAATTTCAGTGCAGTTGCCGCGTCAGCCATATTTAATTTTTTGTAGTCCTTCGAATTGTAATACAATATATGATAAATGTATATGTCTGATAATGTTTAAAAACTGGTAAATTATCTTTGTGAGTCAATATATAATGTACATTTAATCTTATATTCGTCATACAATATATTTAGACTGTAATAAAGTGATATCGGGAAAGGAGATGAAGATTATTGATAATAATGATTATCATTCTAAATCTTGATTAAAAACAATTGAAATTATTTACTGTGATTTGAAAATTAAAAAAAAGAAACAACGCGCATATTTTGGTCGATTTTCTCCCAAAGAGAAATAAAAAAAAAAAAATAAATTTTATTAATTTTACGAATGCAATGCCAACACCATAGTTACTTTTAAAAGCTAAATTTCTTCTTGTCAGTTCCTAAATTTGAGAACAGGAAGTAAATGTTAATTTGTAGTCACTTCATAAACTAAAAAATATCTTATTGGTGTTCGCCATTCAACTATCATATTCACCAACTATTTAAAATATTCAAAATAGCCTACCTTTTACTAAAAAGCCTTTAACTAGCGGCCTGAAAGATATTCAGTAGTGATCAAATATCTAGGCAATTGATGATATGATTAAGTGCGCTTACACGAGGGCAATAATTGTCGGCAAACAATGCATTGAGATTTCAATAAACTCAATAAATTTCAATAAATTATTTGGGATTTTGCTTCTAATTGTCATTATATTTCATATCGCTCAATGTCGCAGATACGAATTGACGAATATCCAATGGAACTTGGAAATTCCTAGCAATTTTTGTATAAATCTAATTATTTACACAATGAAAATTCAATATCGCCCAGATAGCCTATCCTTTTTTCTTTTTGTTTTGATTAATAATATAAAAAAAAGTGCCGCCGCAGCAAGAACAATGTCGTCTATAGCGAGCGAATACTGAATTGCCGTGTAGGACAGTATTCCTAGTTGATGAAGTTGCGCCATATCGCTCAATATTGTATTGCGCAGTTTCGCTGCTTGTTGCCTTTGCCGTAAATTGCTTGATGTAGTCGTGACGTCATAGTTGACGAGTATTGACTGGAATTGAGCAATTTTAGTTGCCCTGATAAGCGCACCTTTCAGCTAGTTGGGTGCGACATATCGACGTAGGAAAGATCATTTGCTGTAAGTAGACAAAATACCTAAAGTGACTTTTTACTGCCATTGGAATCAGAAAAAAACCGCATCGAATGTCCCGGGTCCTTTTCTATGATGAAAAAAATTACATAGCGGTTGAAAACGCCCGTACTTATATTTTTTTAGCAAGATTAAATGCTGTATGTAGACCAAATCCATCATTATAGACAATTTGTACTTACAGCAAAAGAAAAACTGCATTTTTCTTTACAAATACTTACTTCTTCCCATTTAAAAACTTAACGCTACTTACAGCATTTCTGCGGCGTGTGATTTTAACATTCGTTTACTTACAGCAAGCTTAGGGAACCTACAGTTTTAGTAATTTTTTTTTACCATTTACGACATTTTATTTCAACCAAACATTACATTACCAAATGACCACTGCTTTCTAATCTAATCTATTATTAACTAATCTTACATCTTGAATTTCAATTGAAATACCCAAATACATAAATTACTGCACACAGCTTTTTACCGCCTGTAAATTGATAATATTTCCGCGGGCGTACATTTTTTTCCTTATTACAGCGTTTTAAAGGTTTGTGATTTAAAAACTGTATGCTGTAACTAGCCAAACACGTACTTATAGTAACTTTGGATAAAAAGTTTACATTGCAAATGGTGACTGTAAATAAATATATGTTTAACAAATTGGTAGCAATATCTTGAATAGGTTTGATCACTACTGTAATTTTTTTTCGACTTTTAATTTTTTGGTGAAAAGGCAATATGCACTGTACAGCAAATAGCTTGCCTACGTCGATATGTATTATGATATTTGTGGAACGTGGTAAACAATAAATAACTTAAAATGATTATGATTCAGAAATTATATAGAAATATTAAGTTAAAAAACTTTGGTTTCAACTTGACATTGGGGAAAGCCAGTTACATAGAATAGCTACATTATCTAATTTATTTCATTTATCATTCCCACAGTTACCTGTAAGAGATTGCTGGAAAGCGATAAGGCCGCCAGTTGCCCTCCGCTTTTATTTAATTATGTCAATTGAATTATATTTTTGCAACTAACTTTTAATGAATAAATAAATAAATAGCTATAACTAAAAACAAATTTTTTAGATAAATTACTCTCTGATATTACCGTATCTTATATTTTTGGCCTTCAATTTGCAATCAGCGATAATGTGCTCCATTCTGAGTATGCCCGTAGCAACATTAATTATTAATCCTTACTTTCTATTATGTAACAGATAGTAGAATTCATTTAACCCATATTTGTTAGTAGTTTTATCAAAGTTCTAGTAGTGTGAGATTTCAGAATACACCAATTACGCGTTAAAACACCTAATCTTTAATTAACCTATCATTTGTAAGTGTTCAATACATAACACAATAATAAAGCGATAACTTACTTATGACTTGTTTCATCTATTATCACACTCTATGGACTTAGTAATGACTGCGAAAAAATAACATTTCCTTCCATTTCCATCTGTCCTTTAAAATAAGGCCGTTCAATAAACTAAGTTGCGTCCTGCCGTATTTCCTAACTCAAATTTATTTTTTGTCCTGCGTATAAAGTTCCAGTAAATGTGATAAAATTTATGACTTACCGCCGAGATCCTAAAAACGCCTTAAAATTAGTCTATTTTCGAGACAATCGACCTTCATGTCCGAGAATTGCTTAAAATCTTATATGAAACGTAATATTGATTGCAATGGTTTTGGACATTTAATTTGTCAAATCGTTAATTTTACTAATAACTTCCAGTTTTATTGTTTTCGGCGTTTGCCGGTAGGAGACTTTCCTTTAGTACCAAAGGAAAAGCAAATATTATGTTCACTAAAATCTTATATTAAATTTTTATATTTAAACTAAAAATTTCATCATTTTTATGAATTAGTCTGCCATTGCACGCATGTAGTATTACTTAAAAATACAATTTTTATTTTTTTCAACAGAAATGATAAGTTTTATACAATTTCAGATAGCACGAAGACTGACACAGTAGTTCTACGAGACACATTGGAGGGGAATTCCTATCCTTTTAGAATGGAATGGAGGATGAAGTCGGGTAAAATTTGTTTTATAATCAGTCCCCTCCTCAACCTTGTCTCCAGTGGTATTTAAACTGTTTCATTCAATGTCAGCGACAAGGATTCAAAAATAAAACTATCAAGATAACTTTTGTTTATTACAATATATATAATTCATTAACAAATTTGATTTAAAAAAAAACCATTTACAGAAGTAATTGTTATTATTAAAATGTTAATATAGGCCTCAACTTATGCGGCTTAAAATCATTGCATGCTTGGATAGCGTAGATCTGTGTCACGTAGATTTTCCTCAATCCATTTGTCTGATTCTGCCGTCATCTCCTCATCAAAGTAATCACGCCAAACCCCTGACTTTCCTGTAATACATTAATGATTTATTTGGATTTGGGGTTTGCTTTCTAAATTATGCTAAATGTTAAATGAGCAATGACTTAGATTGCGATTCTCAACCCCGAGGCCGTTGTTCTGAACTGTGCATCAATGGTAACTGAAACAGTCTTAGCAAAATTGATGCGCACAGGCACTGTTCACTTAAATTTTATAGAAATAAAGAAACAGATGCAATCTGATGCCAAACACATATAGGCTGAATTATTTTTCATATATAAACTGTTAATGCAATGTTGGCCTAGTGGTTTCAGCGGGCGACTCCCATCCCTGTTTGGCACCCACTCCCATCCCTGGGTTCGATACCCGGCTATGCTGGTGCATAGCCATGTTTTTTGTGCTCATTTAACAGTTGCACAAACCAGCATGCCTTATTCCCAAAAAGTCGGCGATGAGAATCAGGCACATAAGGTCAATTAACTACTTGCATACTAGAAATGACCATGGAACAGATACAGGCTCAGACCTAAAAGGTTGTAGCGCCCCCCTTTAATATAGATGTCGCATAAATAGTAGTTAAATCTCAAGACAGTTAATTGAATCCAAGACAGTTAAAAATCGATATTCAATCAACTCGCTAGTTGATTTAAAGAGCGTTTAACTATGACTGACCGAAAGCCAGCGTGTTGATTAGTAATTTAAAAGAAGATGGCGGTCACGACAATAGCTGATTACTTTTAGAGTCTTTCTTTTGGCAAACGTTGGTTTGTACTTTGTTGTGACAGTGGCTTTTTGTTTCAAATTGTGGTCTTTGGTGTGATCGTGAGAGCTTGGAAATTCCGTGTTTTGTTTTATTGTATATGGTTAGGTAAGGTTAGTAATAATTTTAATTGTGTTAGTAAGCATATTTTTCATTTGTATCGTTGATTTTAATTTTGTTGTTGAAGATATTCCTTTTTGTATGCCTTGTTCGCCCATACAATTTTTGTGGAATAAGTTCTAGCTAGTATCTATTTTATACTTAGGTTGAGCAATCATACTTAAAATGCCATTAATAAAGGTAAAACGAACTAAACAAATGTACTAAATAGCTGCCGCAGAGCAGGTTTTATTTTTAAATTGATTCAATTAACTCTCTGATATAACTACTTTACTGCGACATATATTTATATATAAAGGTATATATATTGGTATACTGTTAATGAGAATCGAAATAATTTAATGGTAGAATCTCCCAGGTTATTGTTTTAATCGCCATATTGTCAATGGGGTTCAATATTTAATTGTATATGTCTGTCTCCAGCCAATAAGAATATTTAGGGTTAAAAAGTATCCATTAAAGTGAAATTGTATTTTTTGGCATTTAATTTCAATAGTCGCGCAGTTTAACTTCAACCGGAACAAAGACTTTTTTGATTTATTATGAATAATATACCTTTTCTAATAAAAGGTTTATCAGCATCCATAAATCCAAGCTCCTTCATA